AATGGTGTCACCTGCCAGTACTCTCCTGGGAATGGTGTCACCTGCCAGTACTCTCCTGGGAATGGTGTCACCTGCCAGACCGCGAGAGACAGGAGGCTCCGGTCTCTTCAACATCTTAGACACGAAATGTTTGAATTAAACTGAATTTATAGAATGTAATAAGTGAGAACAATGTGATGTTCAATGTGCAAACACAGTCTAACAGGCTCATGGCCTAACAAATACACAGTTTAACAGAATCATAGCCTAACAAATACACAGTTTAACAGAATCATAGCCTAACAAACACACAGTTTAACAGAATCATAGTCTAACAAACACACAGTCTAACAGACTCATAGCCTAACAAACACACAGACTAACAGACTCATAGCCTAACAAACACACACCCTAACAACCTCATAGCCTAACAAATAGTCTAACATACTCATAGCCTAACAAACACACACCCTAACAAACTCATAGCCTAACAAATACAGTCTAACAGACTCATAGCCTAACAAACACACACCCTAACAAACTCATAGCCTAACAAATACAGTCTAACATACTCATAGCCTAACAAACACAGTCTAACAGACTCATAGAATATATAGACTCGCAAGGTAGCAGAATTAACAAAAAATTGCGTGTTGGCCAATACTCACAAACCGGTATTTCCACCCACACTTGGATGCGCAACTCCGCCACACACAGTGCTCATAATGCCTCCTGACTGCGTAAAGTTGAGAAGAAAAAGCCTGAGTTCGAATCCCTTATATGAATTTCAATTGCTTTTGAAATCTGATAGATCATACCCAAGATGTATCTGCGCCGACGACATGGCGGTGAAGGCGGTAAGAATATGTAGAACTGTGGTATGAACTCTCTGCCCTGGCGCTCCATAATAGTTTAAGAAGTAGAAAGTCCAAGAAGTAGCACGCGCGTGTCTTGAACATCTTCTTCCTTCTTCTTGTTCGTGGCCAGTTGGGTCATCAACCTCTTCAAGGGTGATTATTGTTGTTGTTTACCTGTGTGAGAGCAGGATGTGACGAGGCAGAGTATAGCTGGTTTTGTTTACAGTCGTCCCCGCGCCTTTCCGTGGGTTTTTCCCATTTTCATTAACCCTCGCCACTGGAGAGGACAGATCTACGGATGTAAGGTCAAGGGTATACTGATTGTTCTACTACACAGAAGGCCGAGGGTATACTGATTGTTGTTCTTCGATACATGAGGCCGAGGGTACACTGATTGTTCTACTACACAGAAGGCCGATGGTATACTGATTGTTCTACTACACAGAAGGTCGATGGTATACTGATTGTTCTACTACACAGAAGGTCGAGGGTATACTGATTGTTGTTCTTCGATACATGAGGCCGAGGGTACACTGATTGTTCTACTACACAGAAGGCCGATGGTATACTGATTGTTCTACTACACAGAAGGTCGATGGTATACTGATTGTTCTACTACACAGAAGGTCGAGGGTACACTGATTGTTCTACTACACAGAAGGCCGAGGGTACACTGATTGTTCTACTACACAGAAGGCCGATGGTACACTGATTGTTCTACTACACAGAAGGCCGATGGTACACTGATTGTTCTACTACACAGAAGGCCGAGGGTATACTGATTGTTCTACTACACAGAAGGCCGAGGGTACACTGATTGTTCTACTACACAGAAGGCCGAGGGTACACTGATTGTTCTACTACACAGAAGGCCGAGGGTACACTGATTGTTCTACTACACAGAAGGTCGAGGGTACACTGATTGTTGTACTACACAGAAGGTCGAGGGTATACTGATTGTTGTTCTTCGATACATGAGGCCGATGGTATACTGATTGTTCTACTACACAGAAGGTCGATGGTATACTGATTGTTCTACTACACAGAAGGTCGATGGTATACTGATTGTTCTACTACACAGAAGGCCGATGGTATACTGATTGTTCTACTACACAGAAGGTCGATGGTATACTGATTGTTCTACTACACAGAAGGCCGATGGTATACTGATTGTTCTACTACACAGAAGGTCGATGGTATACTGATTGTTCTACTACACAGAAGGTCGATGGTATACTGATTGTTCTACTACACAGAAGGCCGATGGTATACTGATTGTTCTACTACACAGAAGGTCGATGGTATACTGATTGTTCTACTACACAGAAGGCCGATGGTATACTGATTGTTCTACTACACAGAAGGTCGATGGTATACTGATTGTTCTACTACACAGAAGGCCGATGGTATACTGATTGTTCTACTACACAGAAGGTCGATGGTATACTGATTGTTCTACTACACAGAAGGCCGATGGTATACTGATTGTTCTACTACACAGAAGGTCGATGGTATACTGATTGTTCTACTACACAGAAGGCCGATGGTATACTGATTGTTCTACTACACAGAAGGTCGATGGTATACTGATTGTTCTACTACACAGAAGGTCGAGGGTACACTGATTGTTCTACTACACAGAAGGCCGAGGGTACACTGATTGTTCTACTACACAGAAGGCCGAGGGTACACTGATTGTTCTACTACACAGAAGGCCGATGGTATACTGATTGTTCTACTACACAGAAGGCCGATGGTACACTGATTGTTCTACTACACAGAAGGCCGATGGTATACTGATTGTTCTACTACACAGAAGGCCGAGGGTACACTGATTGTTCTACTACACAGAAGGCCGATGGTATACTGATTGTTCTACTACACAGAAGGTCGAGGGTACACTGATTGTTGTTCTTCGACACATGAGGCCGATGGTACACTGATTGTTCTACTACACAGAAGGTCGAGGGTACACTGATTGTTCTACTACACAGAAGGCCGAGGGTACACTGATTGTTCTACTACACAGAAGGCCGATGGTATACTGATTGTTCTACTACACAGAAGGTCGAGGGTATACTGATTGTTCTACTACACAGAAGGTCGAGGGTACACTGGTTGTTCTACCACACAGAAGGCCAAGGGCAGTGATTGTTGCACGGTAGGATGCTAGAACGGATTAAAACAATGGTTTAAACAAGGAAAATAAAGGGTGCGCGTAAATGAGAGAGAATCTCTCAGGAAAAGTGTAGTGAGTGGAGTACCGCAAGGTTGCTCCTTCTCAAGCCCAACCTTTTGTGTTATATACGTCACCTATATAGTGTTAAAGTGTAAACAATTCCTGGCCCTTGTTACATAGGAGCCACATATTGCCAAGAAGACTGATCACATATTGGTGGGTGAGAACTTGTAAGCGAAGGGATGGGAAGGGAAGTATCAGGAGAAAGCGCCAAGCCATTACGACAATATAGCCCTTGGAAGGGATCAGGATAAGGTTTTGGGATGGGACGGGGGGAAGGAATGGTGCCCAAGCACTTGGACGATCGGGGATTGAACGCCGACCTGCATGTAGATCGGCGTTCAATCCCGAATTCAATCCTCCTGCTAGGAGGTCGCATGAAGCGAGACTGCATGAAGCGAGATCGTCGCTCTATCGTCCACCCCAAGCGAAGGAAACTTGGGAAAGATAGAACAGAAATTCAACAGAGAGACCCACACGACGACAAAACTAACGACAGAATCGCAAACAATAGTTAATTCACTTGTATTTGTCTAAGTAAATATGTGCCTTGCGGTGCATGTAGCCGTTGATGAAGAACACTTACAATAACTCTTATGAAGGCATGCTTAATACTCCTGAAGGCTCGTACTCTACTTTTCAAAACATTCACAAAATATTGTTAGAGAAAGAGATCTTCCAGGAACAGTGGCTGAAGGATAGATAAAAGCTGTTCTTCCAGTGGTTGTCCGAAGCTTAGTATCTTTAGGGCATGACCTAAAGATACTAAGCTACTAGGGATACACCCTAGTAGCTTAGTATCTAGGCTACTAGCTACTAGCTTAGATATTAAGCTACTAGGGATACATCATGGGTAAAGTGCCAGGCAGAGAGGTGAGGTGGTTGATGAGTCAAGTGACTGTCTTTAGTGTGGGGAGAGGAAGGTCGTCCATTACCATCACCTGCTTCATAAACCAGAACAGTCTTGAGCTCCTGCTCCCCGGGGGCGTCCGGGGGTCCCGGGAAAACCCCAGAGGATAGACGATAATAATGAGAATGTTACAATGATTGAGATACTTTTTATGAAGATGTACACAGGATGAAACAGTGTAGTCAGGATGTATATTGTTGGTGACTGTGTGTGTGTGTGTGTGTGTGTGTGTGTGTGTGTGTGTGTGCGTGTGTGACTGTGTGTGTGTGTGTGTGTGTGTGTGTGACTGTGTGTGTGCGTGTGTGACTGTGTGTGTGCGTGTGTGACTGTGTGTGTGACTGTGTGTGTGAGTGTGTGTGACTGTGTGTGTGCGTGTGTGACTGTGTGTGTGCGTGTGTGACTGTGTGTGTGACTGTGTGTGTGAGTGTGTGACTGTGTGTGTGTGTGTGTGTGTGTGTGTATGTGTGTGCGTGTGTGACTGTGTGTGTGACTGTGTGACTGTGTGTGTGCGTGTGTGACTGTGTGTGTGCGTGTGTGACTGTGTATGTGTGTGGGTGACTGTGTATTTACCTAGTTGTACTTAACTAGTTGTGCTTGCAGGGGTTGAGCTCTAGCACTTTGGTCCCGCCTCTCAACTGTCAATCAACTGGTAACTGTTGACTGACAGTTACCAAACACACACAGTCAACCCCACACACACGTGTGTGTGGGGAGGGGGGGGGTAACAGTGCGTTGGGTGTACTGTATTGAGTAGACTGTGTACTCACCTAGCTGGTGTACTGTGTTGAGTAGACTGTGTACTCACCTAGTGTACTCACCTAGCTGGTGTACTGTGTTGAGTAGACTGAATACTCACCTAGAGTACTCACCAAGCTGGTATACAGTAGGAACCCAGACACATCAAGTATCACGACAAGAGTCATTTATAATTAATTTATAACTAAAATAATGTATTTTGTTGTAACTTAAAGCAAACTTCTGATATAGAAAACATTTTAATTCTTAATTCCCCCAGCAGGAGGCGGCGGGAGCTGCACCTGTGTCCCCTTGGTCGTGTGCGTCGCTGAACTAAACCAGGTATTCTCATACTATGTATTATAATCACTCATCATTTCATTATAATTAACACCATATTACCAGTGAACAATGTTCTGCTTTCACCTGTTATCAGGATAATAATATTGCTACTGAGACCCTCAGGTTCCCTCCGGGAGGGTACTCTTAAACCTCTAGTTTTTATATCTTTTAATATTATTGCCGTGAAATATTTTTGAAATATATAGTAAGTGTGTGTACGCATGCCAACAGCTGCAGCAGACCTGTACGACGACTGGGCGAGAACCTGGAGTCTGCTGTCCTGCCTCTGCTGGTATGTTGCTCCTCTCCTTGGCTACTAGTCTGCTCCAAGACGGTTAAGGCCACGTAGCTAGGGGGAGAGGGGGGGGGGTAGTGTGGATATTCTTAAGGGGGGAGGGTATAGTGGGGATATTCTTAAGGGGGGAGGGTATAGTGGGGATATTCTTAGGGGGGGAGGGTAGTGGGGATATTCTTATGGGGGGAGAGAGTAGTGGGGATATTCTTAGGGGGGGGGAGGGTAGTGGGGATATTCTTAGGGGGGGGGAGGGTATAGTGGGGATATTCTTAGGGGGGGAGGGTAGTGGGGATATTCTTATGGGGGGAGAGAGTAGTGGGGATATTCTTAGGGGGGGGGAGGGTATAGTGGGGATATTCTTAGGGGGGCAGGGTAGTGGGGATATTCTTAGGGGGGAGAGAGTAGTGGGGATATTCTTAGGGGGGGAGGATAGTGGGGATATTCTTAGGGGGGAGAGAGTAGTGGGGATATTCTTAGGGGGGGAGAGAGTAGTGGGGATATTCTTAGGGGGGGAGAGAGTAGTGGGGATATTCTTAGGGGGGGAGAGAGTAGTGGGGATATTCTTAGGGGGGGAGAGAGTAGTGGGGATATTCTTAGGGGGGGAGAGAGTAGTGGGGATATTCTTAGGGGGGGAGAGAGTAGTGGGGATATTCTTAGGGGGGGAGAGAGTAGTGGGGATATTCTTAGGGGGGAAGGTGGTGGGAAATCTGGGGTAAATAGCCCTGGCGGCCTTGAGTTTCAAAGTTGCCGACACGTTTTGGTGTGTGTTGTGTACTAGGAACATAATGTTTAACTTCTCGCTCTTGTACTCACCTTATAACAATGACTAAGGTGAACAGTGAACAGTGAACAGTGTGTGAACAGTCAACGGTCCCTGGAGACCGTTCTTCGACTCATGGGGGAAATTATCCGTTAGGTAAACAAACTTGTAACACGAAAAGTTATCTTTTATATTATGACTTTTCTTGCCTAATGGCAAGCCGTAATTGTTATAACAAAGGACAAGATAGTATACTTGATATACCACTTGTGTATGGCCAGGGTATACTCAGCCTCGGGAAATATACTTATTTATAGTATTTTTTTAGAATACGTAAATGACATTGAATGACACGACATGACACGTAAATGACACATTAATTGACATGTAAATGACACGTAAATGACACATTAAATGACACATGACACGTAAATGACACATTAATTGACATGTAAATGACACGTAAATGACACATTAAATGACACATGACACGTAAATGACACATTAATTGACATGTAAATGACACGTAAATGACACATTAAATGACACATGACACGTAAATGACACATGACACGTAAATGACACATGACACGTAAATGACACATTAATTGACATGTAAATGACACGTAAATGACACATTAAATGACACATGACACGTAAATGACACATTAATTGACATGTAAATGACACGTAAATGACACATTAAATGACACATGACACGTAAATGACACATTAATTGACATGTAAATGACACGTAAATGACACATTAAATGACACATGACACGTAAATGACACATGACACGTAAATGACACATGACACGTAAATGACACATTAAATGACACGTAAATGACATTGAACAGGTAAATCACATTTTTCTTTTAACAAAGTTATCCACTGAATATTATCTGAGGAGAGTAGACATATAAGTGATATGTATGTAGTATACATGTTTGTGGTGGGCCGAGTATACATGTTTGTGGTGGGCCGAGTATACATGTTTGTGGTGGCCCGAGTATACATGTTTGTGGTGGGGCCGAGTATACATGTTTGTGGTGGGGCCGAGTATACATGTTCGTGGTGGGCCGAGTATACATGTTTGCCCCACAGTCACTGGCACAGTGAGAGACACTGTCAGAGACTCCTTAACCACGTCGACAGTTAGCGGCATCATTAGTATGTGTAACTCCACCAAAGCACCTCCAAAGGATACCTGATCAACCAGGCTGTGACTCATACGTCAGGCTGCGAGCAGCCGCGTCCAACAGCCTGGTTGATCAGTCCAGGAACCAGGAGGCCTGGTCGACGACCGGGCCGCGGGGACGCAAAGCCCCAGAAGCACCTCAAGGTAACCTCAAGGTAACCTCTTGTGTTCCTTGTGTACACATTCTTATGAGTAAATTGTAAGTATTACCCAAGCATGGTTCTGAGAGCAGGAGAACTGTAAGTAGCAGCACAAGGGGGAGAGTTACATTACAGGAGACGGCTACGGTGACTCAAAAAGTTGAGATATAAGGTCAGGTCAACGGGTCACACCAACAGCTGTACTGTGCACTGAATAGTGAATTTTGGTAGAATTATTCATATATATATATATATATATATATATATATATATATATATATATATATATATATATATAATATATATATATATATATATATATATATATATATATATATATATATATATATATATATATATATATATGCACCACAACCTTCACTCATAACACCTGCCCCCCCCCCCCCCCCCCCGCCTCACATATTGCCACATCTGGTTCCCCATGACCTCCGACGTGATCATCCCCCATCACCCCAGGGGAGGGGGTGATGGGGGCAGGGGAGGGGGTGATGGGGGGCAGGGGAGGGGGTGATAGGGGCAGGGGAGGAGGTGATGGGGGCTGGGGAGGGGGTGATGGGGCAAGATCATTACTCACCTGGTCTCTCATGACCATTACTCATCTTCTGGTCTCTCATGACCATTACTCACCTGGCCTCTCATGACCATTACTCACCTGGTCTCTCATGAACATTACTCACCCGGTCTCTCATGACCATTACTCACCTGGCCTCTCATGACCATTACTCACCTTCTGACCTTTCATGACCATTACTCACCTGGTCTCTCTTGACCATTACTCACCCGGTCTCTCATGACCATTACTCACCTGGCCTCTCATGACCATTACTCACCTGGTCTCTTATGACCATTACTCACCTGGTCTCTCATGACCATTACTCACCTGGTCTCTCATGACCATTACTCACCTTCTAGTCTCTCATGACCATTACTCACCTTCTGGTCTCTCATGACCATTACTCACCTGGCCTCTCATGACCATTACTCACCTTCTGGTCTCTCATGACCATTACTCACCTGGTCTCTCATGACCATTACTCACCTTCTGGTCTCTCATGACCATTACTCACCTTCTAGTCTCTCATGACCATTACTCACCTTCTGGTCTCTCATGACCATTACTCACCTGGTCTCTTATGACCATTACTCACCTGGTCTCTCATGACCATTACTCACCTGGTCTCTCATGACCATTACTCACCTTCTAGTCTTTCATGACCATTACTCACCTTCTGGTCTCTCATGACCATTACTCACCTGGCCTCTCATGACCATTACTCACCTTCTGGTCTCTCATGACCATTACTCACCTGGTCTCTCATGACCATTACTCACCTTCTGGTCTCTCATGACCATTACTCACCTTCTGGTCTCTCATGACCATTACTCACCTGGTCTCTCTTGACCATTACTCACCCGGTCTCTCATGACCATTACTCACCTGCCTCTCATGACCATTACTCACCTTCTGGTCTCTCATGACCATTACTCACCTGGTCTCTCTTGACCATTACTCACCCGGTCTCTCATGACCATTACTCACCTGGCCTCTCATGACCATTACTCACCTTCTGGTCTCTCATGACCATTACTCACCTTCTGGTCTCTCATGACCATTACTCACCTGGTCTCTCATGACCATTACTCACCTGGTCTCTCAAGACCATTACTCACCTGGTCTCTCTTGACCATTACTCACCCGGTCTCTCATGACCATTACTCACCTGGCCTCTCATGACCATTACTCACCTTCTGGTCTCTCATGACCATTACTCACCTGGTCTCTCATGACCATTACTCACCTGGTCTCTCATGACCATTACTCACCTGGTCTCTCATGACCATTACTCACCTGGTCTCTCATGACCATCACTCACCTTCTGGCCTCTCATGACCATTACTCACCTTCTGGTCTCTCATAACCATTACTCACCTTCTGGTCTCTTATGATCATTACTCACCTTCTGGTCTCTCATGATCATTACTCACCTTCTGGCCTCTCATGACCATTACTCACCTTCTGGCCTCTCATGACCATTACTCACCTTCTGGCCTCTCATGATCATTACTCACCTTCTGGTCTCTCATGATCATTACTCACCTTCTTGCCTCTCATGACCATTACTCACCTTCTGGCCTCTCATGACTATTACTCACCTTCTGGTCTCTCATAACCATTACTCACCTTCTGGTCTCTCATGATCATTGCTCACCTTCTGGCCTCTCATGATCATTACTCACCTTCTGGCCTCTCATGACCATTACTCACCTTCTGGTCTCTCATGACCATTACTCACCTTCTGGCCTCTCATGACCATTACTCACCTTCCGACCTCTCATGACCATTACTCACCTGGCCTCTCATGACCATTACTCACCTTCCGACCTCTCATGACCATTACTCACCTGGCCTCTCATGACCATTACTCACCTGGTCTCTCATGACCATTACTCACCTTCAGGTCTTTCATGACCATTACTCACCTTCTGGCCTCTCATGACCATTACTCACCTTCCGACCTCTCATGATCATTACTCACCTGGTCTCACATGACTATTTCTCACCTGGTCTCTCATGACCATTACTCACCAGCTGGTCTCTCATGACCATTACTCACCAGCTGGCCTCTCATGATCATTACTCACCTGGTCTCACATGACTATTTCTCATCTGGTTTCTCATGACCATTACTCACCTTCTGGCCTCTCATGACCATTACTCACCTGGTCTCTCATGACCATTACTCACCTGGTCTCTCATGACCATTACTCACCTTCAGGTCTTTCATGACCATTACTCACCTTCTGGCCTCTCATGACCATTACTCACCTGATCTCTCATGACCATTACTCACCTGGTCTCTCATGACCATTACTCACCTTCAGGTCTTTCATGACCATTACTCACCTTCTGGCCTCTCATGACCATTACTCACCTGGTCTCTCATGATCATTTCTCACCTGGTCTCTCATGACCATTACTCACCTTCTGGTCTCTCATGACCATTACTCACCAGCTGGCCTCTCATGACCATTACTCACCTGGCCTCTCATGACCATTACTCACCAGCTGGTCTCTCAAGACCATTACTCATTACTCACCTTCTGGTCTCTCATGACCATTAATCACCTGGCCTCTCATGACCATTACTCACCTGGTCTCATGACCATTACTCACCTGGTCTCATGACCATTACTCACCTGGTCTCATGACCATAGTAGGGTAAATGACGACTTCAACAGTCCCCTCCAATGTGGTGTTGCAGTGTTGCGGAGCACGGGGCATACGATGTGACCAAATGTTGCAAATCAGTTGCAAGATGTAATAAAGTTGCAAAGTACAGGTATATACATTTCATACAGGTATCAAAATGTTTCATATTGTGATATTTTCAACAAGTTTTGTTCCGTGAAAGTTATGTCTTTTCATCCATTGATTTTCACAAACAGGTTTCTTACATATAAGAAGTCTCACTTCGTAGAGAGCAAAGATAAGGGGAATATCAAAATAAATATATAAATATACATATATATATATATATATATATATATATATATATATATATATATATATATATATATATATATATATATATATATATATATATTATTAAATATGACCGAAAAAGTAAGATTAATAATTCTAACACTAATTTTCTCAATCTTTCGTACATTTCTTTTCACTGTTGGAGGTATTTCAAAAATCAATTCTCCAAAATTCATTTTTATTTCTAGTCTGACGCGACATGAGCGCGTTTCGTAAAACTTATTACATTTTCAAAGACTTTAGTTTACAAATACACAACTGAATAGAGCTTAAACATCTCCGATTTTGTTTATATCTACATTTGAGTGAGGTGGATGGGGTGAGGTGGCATTAATAGGGTATTAATTTCATCAACACAAGACAGAACAAGAGGTGGCATTAATAGGGTATTAATTTCATCAACACAAGACAGAACACGAAACAATGGGTATTGAAATGGAAGTGATTGTAGAAAGCCTATTGGTCCATATTTCTTGATGCTTCTATATTGGAGCGGAGTCTTGAGGTGGGTAGAATATAGTTGTGAATTAATTGGCTGTTGATTGCTTTTGTTGACTTCTTAATGTGTAGTGCCTCGCAAACGTCAAGCCGCCTGCTATCGCTGTATCTATCGATGATTTCTGTGTTGTTTACTAGGATTTCTCTGGCGATGGTTTGGTTGTGGGAAGAGATTATATGTTCCTTAATGGAGCCCTGTTGTTTATGCATCGTTAAACGCCTAGAAAGAGATGTTGTTGTCTTGCCTATATACTGGGTTTTTTGGAGCTTACAGTCCCCAAGAGGGCATTTGAAGGCATAGACGACGTTGGTCTCTTTTAAAGCGTTCTGCTTTGTGTCTGGAGAGTTTCTCATGAGTAGGCTGGCCTCTCATGAGAAACCTGCATTACGACGACCGGAGTAGAGATCTTTGGCAGAAACGTAGGCTTCAGCATTTGAGTAGTTATCAGGAAGAAGTGCACCTGCATATTCATTAACCGGTTCATCACCAATAGGACGGTAATAGAGGGGTCTGGTAACCTTTACTGGAGGTTGTAGCTGAATGGGTTTAGCATCCGGGAAAGCGCCAGAAAGAAGCTGGCAGTCCTTTGAACGGCCATATGCAGCGACCAAGAGATGGCTTCCTGAACCTTGCAGGAATTAACCTCACTGAGGACCAAGTCACTCTCCTAAATCTGGGCATAAACTGTCACGTTATGTCCAGACCGAGTGAGATGGCCTGGAAAGTAGAGTTGGAAATTCTGTTGGACGACATATTCGACCTCGAGACACAAAAGAAGGTCACTTCCAAAGATACCTTACAAGCAGAACTTATTGCAGAAGGTGGAAAGAATCGAGGCAATTACAGAAGCACCATACTGTCCCCCGAGCTCAAAGCGGCAGCTAAAAGCCTTCGTGAGAACAAAGAGATAGTTGTCAGGAGAGGTGACAAGTCGCCAATATATGTCATTCTTAAAAAAGACGAATATCTGGCGAAAATGAACCTCATACTCTCTGACCAAACTAAGTTCCAAAGGGTAACGAAGGACACTATAGCCGAATTGAAAGCAAAGGTCAACAAACTGATCGAAACTGTGAACGCCAAGAACTCCGGACTCCACCTGCCAAAGATCATTGGGGAATATAAACCTGGATATGCGTATGGAAATGTCAAGACACACAAGCCTGGAAACCCACTTCGGCCAATCATTAGCCAGATACCCACACCCACGTACAGACTGGCGAAGCGACTCAACGGCCTGCTGACTCCTTATGTTCCTTGCGCCTTCAGCCTGAAGTCTCCAAAGGAATTTGTTGACTTACTGCGGGGCACACGGGCCACAGGGATAAGAGCCTCGTTGGACGTAGAATCGCTGTTTACCAACGTACTTGTGGACGAGACAATCGGGATGATAGCCGACAGAGTGTATCGTGATCCAGCCTGTACTCCTCTTGACATACCCGAAAATATTCTAAGGAAACTACTCCAAGCTTGTACTAAAGAGGCACCCTTCTTGAGCCCGGATGGGCACATGTATAAGCAAGTAGATGGGGTCGCCATGGGTTCTCCCCTAGGTGTCCTGTTTGCAAACTTCTACATGGGTACCATCGAGCAAAAAGTCTTAGTCGACATGAACTTGAAACCGGCCATATACTGCAGGTATGTTGACGACATTTTTACACAGGTACCTGATGTCAGACATCTGCAGGAGCTGAAGGAGGCATTTGAGCAGAGTTCTGTGCTGCGTTTCACTTACGAGATGGAAAAGGATGGGAAGCTGCCCTTTCTAGATGTAACAGTCATGGAAAAGAGCGGAGGTTTCCACACTGCAGTTTACACTAAGGAAACGAACATAGGAATGTGCCTAAATGCCAACAGCGACTGCCCAGACAGGTACAAGAGGAGTGTTGTTAACGCATATGTCGACCGTGCTCTAAGCCACAGCTCAGAATGGAAGCAAGTCGACGAAGAACTCTGTAGGGTAAGGCAGGTCCTAGTCAACAACGGCTTCTCCAATGGTTTCGTCGAAGACATCATAAGAAGGAAAGTGAAACGCCATGCAACCTCTGAAGAGACAACTAACACAACACCTATACCCCCTATTAGACTATTTTACAGGAACTTCTTTTCCACAGCACATAAAACAGAGGAAAGGGTCCTGAAAGATATTGTTAATAGAAACGTTATCCCTACAGACAAAAATCAGAGGATACAACTGACGATTTACTATAAAACCAGAAAAACGGCCAGCCTACTCATGAGAAACTCTCCAGACACAAAGCAGAACGCTTTAAAAGAGACTAACGTCGTCTATGCCTTCAAATGCCCACTTGGGGACTGTAAGCTCCAAAAAACCCAGTATATAGGCAAGACAACAACATCTCTTTCTAGGCGTTTAACGATGCATAAACAACAGGGCTCCATTAAGGAACATATAATCTCTTCCCACAACCAAACCATCGCCAGAGAAATCCTAGTAAACAACACAGAAATCATCGATAGATACAGCGATAGCAGGCGGCTTGACGTTTGCGAGGCACTACACATTAAGAAGTCAACACCAGCAATCAACAGCCAATTAATGCACAACTATATTCTACCCACCTCAAGACTCCGCTCCAATATAGAAGCATCAAGAAATATGGACCAATAGGCTTTCTACAATCACTTCCATTCAATACCCATTGTTTCGTGTTCTGTCTTGTGTTGATGAATTTAATACCCTATTAATACCACCTCACCCCATCCACCTCACTCAAATGTAGATATAAACAAATCGGAGATGTGTAAGTTCTATTCAGTTGTGTATGTGTAAACTAAAGTCTTTGAAAATGTAATAAGTTTTACGAAACGCGCTCAAGTGTCGCGTCAGACTAGAAATAAAAATGAATTTTGGAGAATTGAATTTTGAATTATCACCAGCAGTGAAAAGAAATGTACGAAAGATTGAGAAAATTCGTGTTAGAATTATTAATCTTACTTTTTCGGTCATATTTAATAATATATATATATAATATATATATAATATATATATATAATATATATATATATATATATATATATATATATATATATATATATATATATATATATATATATATATATATATATATATATATATATATATATATACATATATATATTATTAATTTTTATGTCTATATGCTATAATAAATCATTAATTTGCAACATTTCATTCTTAGACTACAGGTAATGTTGCCTTACATTTGAACCTGATATTTCATCATTTAAGATCACCTCTTTGTCTTGTGTTTACAGTTCAAACACGAGCGTCTCCCGTGAACGTGAGGCTTTTCACCGGCCCCAGCGAGAGTGTCAGCTTAAGTACGCTGGATTCCAACAGGTTGTCTAGTGCTCTGGACAAGGGAGAGAACTCTTTCAATAACATTCAAGAAATCGAGCGGAACCTTATCGAGTAAGGAATTCATTGCACTGTTTAGTTCAGGGTGAGATGAGTAAGTGTAACAGAAGGTAAAGAAAGAAATGAGAGGGAGGCAGAGAGAGAGAGAGAGAGAGAGAGAGAGAGAGAGAGAGAGAGAGAGAGAGAGAGAGAGAGAGAGAGAGAGAGAGAGAGAGAGAGAGAGAGAGAGAGAGAGATAAAGCCACGGAAAACACAAAAGAGGGAAACATACAAGGTTAGGCAAGTTCTTTATCCTAGTAATAAGCAGGTGACAAAATTTTTGCAACATCTGCGTTATACCGGTGTTATCTATTTTGCTCACGCTGTTTCCTCCTGACCCACACAGCCAGTCGCTGATTCTGCCGCTGCTCACTCCCGCTGGTCAGCATCTGCACTTCTTCACGATCCCCGATGAGGCGAAAGCGATGGACCGTAGGGCCACGGCTATTATCTTCGGATCTACGCAGATACTTGACGAGTATGTATTAATAGGATGCTCCAATTATTTCATGATATATTGCTGAAATTTATTAATTTATTCTTAATCTTATGTGGCATAATTAAAAAATAATATGCATATATATATATATATATATATATATATATATATATATATATATATATATATATATATATATATATATATATATATATATATATATATATATATATATATATATATATATATATATATATATATATATATATATATATATATATATATATGTTGTAGCTACTAGCCAGAACGCAGTTCTTGGCTTACTATACAAGACCCGATTTGCCTAATAAGCCAAATTTTCCTGAATATCAATATTTTTCTATTTTTTTTCTTATAAAATGATAAATCTATATATTTCATTATGTATGAGTTAATTTTTTTATTTGGGTTAAAACTAACGTAGATATATGACTGAACCTAACCAACCATACTTAACCTAACCTATCCTAACCTAACCTAACCTAAACTAAGATAACTAATTAAATAATTTATGTTCTTAATATAATGTAAGAATATTATTTAAAATAAATTAATTGGAAACAATTGATTGAAAATCAAAAAATCACTCGGCCTATTAGGCAAATCTGGCCTTGCACTGTAGGCCGAGAAATACGTTCTGGCTACTAGGTACGACATATATATATCTATATATATATATATATATATATATATATATATATATATATATATATATATATATATATATATATATATATATATATATATATATATATATATTGATGAATATGACCGAAAAGGTAAGATTAATAATTCTAACACGAATTTTCTCAATATTTCTTAAGTTTTTCTTCACTGTCGGTGGTAATAAAAATATGAATTCTCCAAAATTCATTTTTAATTGTCTGACGCCTGAACGCATTTCATAATGCTTATTACAGTTTCAAAGACTTAATTTACACACAGATTCATCGAACTTATACTCATTTTGGGTGAGGTTATATGGTACTAAGTTTTGGATGAGGTGAATAAACTTATGACAAACTCACAACAGAACACGGAACAATGGATATAAATTGGATATGAGAATTCTATAGCGAGAATTGCCATACTTCCTCTTGTTGCTTCCATATTGGTTCGGGGTCTTAAAATTGGTAGAATATAGTTGTGCATTAATGGGCTGTTGATTGCTGGTGTTGAATTTTTTATGTGTAGTGCCTCACTGATGTCGAGCCGCCTGCTATCACTGTACTTATCGATGATCTCTGTGTTGTTCGTTAAGATTTCTCTGGCACTACACATCAAAAAGTCAACACCAGCAATCAACAGCCAATTAATGCACAACTATATTCTACCCACTTTAAAATGTAATAAGCATTACGAAACGCGTTCAGGCGTCAGACAATTAAAAAAGGAATTTTGGAGAATTTATATTTTTATACCACCGACAGTGAAGAAAAACATAAGAAATATTGAGAAAATTCGTGTTAGAATTATTAATCTTACCTTTTCGGTCACATACAACAACATATGTTTACAAGAAAGACTGCTACTAAAATATACTAATATTAAAACGCACGACCCAGCAGCAAGAAACCTAGCCTCCACGATAAAAAATCGCCAACATTTGATTCGACATCAGATACTCAAGGCAGAGAATGAGATCAATGACACCAAAACGCAACTACTCCACGCTACAAACCAATGGAGAAACAGCAACATCGACGAAGACCTCCGTACTCGCATCGACCATCACCTCGACACCCTCACAGATCAACATCACCACAGCACCGAAACCAGGATCATCAAGTAACTGACAACACTATTTGGAGGACCCATGGCGATTCCACGACCTTCTTAAACCAAAAAGATGGCTTCTTAAACTTTGCTGGAATCAACCTCACTGAGGACCAAATCACTCTCTTAAATCTGGGCATAAACTGTCACGTTATGTCCAGACCGAGTGAGATGGCCTGGAAAGTGGAGTTGGAGATCCTATTGGATGACATAGTCGACCTCGACAAGCAAAAGAAGGTTACCACTAAAGACATCTTGCAAGCAGAGCTTATTGCAGAAGGAGGAAAGATTCGAGTAACTACAGAAGCACCATACTGTTCCCCGAGCACAAAGCGACAGCTAAGAGCCTTCGTGAGAACAAGGAGATAGTCGTCAGGAGAGGTGACAAGTCGCCAATAAACGATATTCTTAGAAAAGACGAATATCTGGCAAAAATGAACTTCATACTCTCCGACCAAACCAAATTCCAAAGGGTAACGAAGGACACTACAGCCGAATTGAAAACGAAGGTAAACAGATTGATCGAAACTGTGAATGCCAAGAAATCCGGACTCCACCTGCCAAAAGTTGTTGGGGAATACAAACCTGGGTATGCCTATGGAAATGTCAAGACCCACAAGCCTGGAAACCCACTTCGGCCAATCATCAGCCAGATACCCACACCCACATACAGACTGGCTAAACGACTCAACGGGTTGCTGACTCCTTACGTACCTTGTGCTTTCAGCCTGAAGTCTCCCAAGGAATTTGTTGACCTACTGCGGGGAGCGCAGGCCACGGGGATAAGAGCCTCGTTGGATGTAGAGTCACTATTTACCAACGTAACAATCGGGATGACAGCAGACAGCGTGTATCATGACCCAGCTTGCACTCCTCTTGACATGCCAGAAAATACACTGAGGAAACTACTCCAAGCCTGCACTAAAGAGGCACCCTTCTTGAGCCCAGATGGGCACATGTATAAGCAAGTAGATGGGGTCGCCATGGGTTCTCCCCTAGGTGTCCTGTTTGCGAACTTCTACATGGGCACCATCGAGCAGAGGGTCTTAGTTGACATGGGCTTGAAACCCGCCATATACTGCAGGTATGTTGACGACATTTTTACACAGGTACCTGATGCCAGATGTCTGCAGCAGCTGAAGGAGGCATTTGAGCAGAATTCTGTGTTGAGTTTCACTTACGAGATGGAGAATAATGGGAAGCTGCCCTTTCTGGATGTAACAGTCATGGAAAAGAGCGGAGGCTTCCACACTGCAGTCTACACTAAGGAAACCAACATAGGAATGTGCCTCAATGCCAACAGTGACTGCCCAGACAGGTACAAGAGGAGTGTTGTCAACGCTTACGTCGACCGTGCTCTCAGCCACAGCTCAGGATGGAAGCAAGTCGATGAAGAACTCTGTAGGGTAAGGCAGGTCCTAGTCAACAACGGCTTCTCTAACGGTTTCGTTGAAGACATCATAAATAGAAAGGTGAAACGCCATGCAACCTCTGAAGAGTCAACCAACACAACACTTGTACCCCCTATTAGACTATTTTACAGGAACTTCTTTTCGACGGCTCATAAAACAGAGGAAAGGGTCCTGAAAGATATTGTTGATAGGAACGTTATCCCTACAGACAAAAATCAGAAAATACAATTGACAATTTATTATAAAACCAAAAAAAAGGCCAATCTACTCATGGAAAAACTCTCCAGATACCAAGCAGAAACGCTTTAATGGAGATCAACGTCGTCTATGCCTTTAAATGCCCTCTTGGGGACTGTAAGTCCCAAAGAACTCAGTATATAGGCAAGACAACAACGTCTCTTTCCAGGCGATTCACAATGCATAAGCAACAGAGCTCCATAACGGAACACATAATCTCTTCTCACAAACCAGACCATCACCAGAGAAATCTTAACAAACAACACAGAAATCATCCATAGATACAGTGATAGCAGGCGGCTTGACATCAGCGAGGCACTACACATCAAAAAGTCAACACCAGCAATCAACAGCCAATTAATGCAAAACTATATTCTACCCACTTCAAGACCCTGAACCTGTATGGAAGCAACAAGAGAAAGTATGGGTCAATAGGCCTTCTGCAGTTCTCATAGCCAATTTATACCCATTGTTCCATGTTCTGTCTTATGTTTGTCATAAGTTTGTTCACCTCATCCAAAACTTTGTACCATATCACCTCACCCAAAATGAGTATAAGTTCGATGAATCTGTGTGTAAATTAAGTCTTTGAAAATGTAATAAGCATTACGAAATGCGTTCAGGTGTCAGACAATTAAAAATGAATTTTGGAGAATTGATATTTTTATTACCACCGACAGTGAAGAGAAACATAAGAAATATTAAGAAAATTCGTGCTAGAATTATTAATCTTACCTTTTCGGTCATATTCAACAACATATATTTACAAGAAAGACTGCTACCAAAATATATAATTATATATATATATATATATATATATATATATATATATATATATATATATATATATATATATATATATATATATATATATATATATATATATATATATATATATATATATATATATGTCGTACCTAGTAGCCAGAAAGCAGTACTCAGGCTATTATGCAAGGCCCGATTTGCCTAATTAGCCAAGTTTTCTCGAACCTTGCATACTTGGCAGAGAAGTGCATTCTGGTTACTAGATACGACATTATATATATATATATATATATATATATATATATATATATATATATATATATATATATATATATATATATATATATATATATATAACACTTTTAAGCTTAAATATAAATAGAGGACTGTTAAAATATTATTATAACATTTGGTTAGCACTTTTCTTGTAGATATATGATACTAAAGATGACAAAGAATGAGCACATTAATTCTACATTATCTACGACGAATATTTTTGTTTTATATTTCTTATGTTCTTTAATTGAGAAGGAAGTTGAAAAATAATTTCAGAGATTCATTTTACAATTTTATTACGGCTTGCTGCGTTTTGTTGATCCGGTCAACATTTTTAGAGGCAGAGTAAAGGTGAATGTAATTCAGAGTAAGGGGAAGGTATAGCCTGGTCCACTACGCCTCTCGTCAGCCTCCTTACTGCCTCTGTTCTTGTGGTGGCTGGAGCAGTCTGCTGGATGCTTCGTCTTGGTCTTAAACATGGTACAATCTAACTGCTAGAATGTAAAACAGAATTGATTGTTGGTTGGCGTTTTATATGTAGTACTTAGCCGATGTCTAGACTTCTATTGGCGTCGTATCTGTCGATAACCGCCAGATATGACATTATACATATGAGGGTATATGTCCGTGACCACTAATTGTTGCTGTCTTCCCAGCTTTGACTTAACACCGCGACAGGCAGGCTTTGGTCTGAGGAACTTGGCTGTGAGCAACACAGATATGAGAGACTTGTGCCCACAGAACCCGACCTGCACCCCCAACAGCAAGTACCGTACTGCTGATGGCTCGTGCAACAACCTGGCGAACCCAACCTGGGGCATGAGCAACACTCCCACTCAGAGGATCTTACCACCAACTTACGACGATGGTCAGTGGTGTTAGATATTTGCTGTCCTTCTTACTGGCGATATTTAGGTCATTGAGAAACATTGATAAGAATATGTCATGTTTTCTTCAGTTGTGTTCAGTCTGTTCATTGTTAACGTTGTTCTCTGCAGGTGTTTACGCGCCTCGCACCAGAGCAGTCGACGGCTCGCCTCTCCCCAACGTTCGTCAAATTAGCAGCAACGTTTTTGTGGATGTTAATCGGCCAGATGAGGCTCACACCTTAACATTAATGCAGTGGGGACAGTTCCTCGACCACGATTTTGCTCATGTACCTTTCCCTACAATGGGTAAGATAAATATCCAGACATTAATTGTTGCAGTGCTCAAGGAAATGCAATATACACTGCCATATTAGATGTTAACATTACGTACATTGTAATACTGTTAAACGACGAGTCATCCCTATTAATTTGCTTACTTTGAAACTAAATATGCTGGTCGACAATTTCAGAAAATGGAATGGGTATTCAGTGTTGTCCAAATGGAACAATGGCACCCACTCTTCATCCTCGGTGTTTCCCCATCGACACCACAGGCGACCCGTTCTACGGCCCTCGAGGCAGCAGGTGCATGAACTTCATCAGGAGTATGTTGGCTGTCGGTCCCGGCCCCGCCTGTAACTTCGGCTACGCTCAGCAGGTGGGTGGTGTGTCTCATGGATCGTTACCTCTCGCTACAGTCTCTTTGATCAACTCTTGGGTTTGTGTTGTCCTGAAGCAATAACTCTCAGCTCTCTTCAATATTAGACCATTTATGTAACGGAAACAAAAAATTGTGTGACAGACGCTAAAGTAGATTCGTGAATTCATGGCCAGATTACTTACTGTTGTGTGTGGGATTTTCTCCCTTCTACCGTGCCACTGTCCACTTAAGGGGGATACCTCAGTCACTTATGGAGAGAGTCCCTCACTCAGCCTTGTGCCCCGTAAGGAGTGAGGTAACACTGGTAGCTCCCAGGTCTCCAATTTCTTCACGAACCGGGCACTGACGCGGGCTCCTTGTTGCCAATTTACCGACCACAAAAGTCTGTAGCATAAGCTCACCAATCTGGCTATTAATTCACTTACCGTCTGATAATTTATATTAACGCAGTGGTGAATAGTCTCAGCACAAGCCAGTACAAACACAGCCTCAGGCAAAGAATATAGAGGGTGAAGATGGGAATAAATCAAAACACAATATGTAGAAGTATATATACATTTACTGAAAATAATGGTACACTGGCTTATAACCAAATAATAGAATAACTGTCAATATGTTGCAACACTCTGCTGTGGAATTCGATGACAGTTTGGCAACACCGTTCAACAAATATTGCAAGACTTCATTTGGCTTTTACTCTACACAGTATTCTCCAGCAATTAAAATGTTACTTTAATCTCACTCATATAGCAGTTGTCTTGATCTCCTATGAAATAACACAATTATTTTTGATGAAGCAAATACTAGTGAACCACCAAATTTACACATAATCTTAAATGTCTTAATATGCTCTCTCGCCTCAAGAAAATCCCCCGCATTCATAGCACAATTTATATCAACATTCAATCAAAGAAGAGAATGGTGGAGGGAATTTGTTCTGCCATTTTCATTACCAATGAATGTCTGCTTTAGTCTTAGCAGCTTGTTGAGGAGCGAAGATGGCTCGCCAGGTTGTCTACTTGGTTCCTTAAGAAGTCCTCCCTCTATTCTTCCTCTATAAAACATCAGTTGATCTCTTCGCTCTCCTGTTCGACATAACGGTTGATGACTGACCTTTCCTGAAGGTCCCCACTGGTATTTTTTTTTAATATTTTATTTAAATTAATTCAATATTCCGTTTTAACTATAAATTTAACTTAATTTCTTTAATTATTTTATGGAAAGTAGTGGACTGTATTTAAATGAATTCTCCCAAATAATCCCACACAACATTGGGGAGTTTATTATTTTGTTCTACTAAACTAGAGTTAATCAGTTAGTAGAATATTTATATAAATGGTTAAACTATAGATTCAATTTTATTTGGATTATTTAAGAATGGAACAGCTTAGTGGTCTTAGTAGAATGTGGTCCTGGTCAACAGGCACTAGACACGTACGATTTGCATGGGCCCGGTCTCTCGTCGTCAGTGAGGCTTACAGCGTCATCTTGTGTGGCTTGATGTACTAGTTTACTTGATGCTGCTAATATCTCGTTCAGTTCCGAATTCAACCTACTAGGATGTTACATTATAGCAAATGCAAACCAACATCATTAGAGTAGATATCACACGGAATATATTTTTAATTATGATGGACTCCTACCTGTTCCAGGTTCGTTGTACTGCTACATAAGCAACTATATACTACATGACCATATTATACTAAGAGTGTGTTATACTAGATATACAGCACTTCCCAATAATATAGCGAGGTTATTATGGGGAATAGCTGTGGAATATCCCAAAATACGAGAATTGTCTCACTGGACAATGTGACTCATGGGAGGTGTTCGTAACATTTAAATGGCGTCTCTTCTCCATGCTCTCGTTTTCATTTCACAAGATACAGGAATTTTAGGAATTTGTGTATTAATATATAATTAGATTTAATACAATTTATGGATAATTAATTGTTTTGTCTTATAGTGGATTCAGTCCTCAGACTAAACGCTTGAATAGTATAAGGAGAGAGAGATAAAGAGTTACGACACATTATTCCAGGAGTGCACTCTGGGCTGCCGTGGGGTACGGTTGTTTCGTCCGGCCCTTACAGTTGTTGTCAACTCGGCGTGGTGTGTAAGTCTAGGTGTAGCTGCTGACGTGGCTTGCATGCCGTGTTTTTTCTGAGGGGCCCCTGGGGTCGTGACGGTCTGCAGAATGGGGGGGGGGCCTGTGCCCTTGTCGTCAGGCAGGACTCGATTGACCTGGAGTTTTCGGGAATGCTTCCTACGAGGCGGTGGAGGTGGTGTTACTCGACATGTTACATGTTCCTGTGGAGGCTGTGTGTGGTGTGCAGTTGCTTGCTTGGAGGCGGGCGATTGTAAAGTTTGGCTCCTCTGAGATTTACCGGGATCTCGTCGCGTGCTATGATGGGCGGTGTTTCACTCTTCCTGGTGATTGTGGGTCAGTGATCCTCTCCGATCATTGTCATACGACGACGTATGTGGCGGTGCATGGGATGCCCTTCGAGTTTCCTGAGGACCTTCTACGTAGGTACTTTTCCCGTTTTGGGCGGGTCCTTTGTATGATGATGAACGCTTTACCCACCAGGAGATGGAAGGGGGTCCCGTGTGGGACCCGCACTCTCGCCATGGGCCTCAGGGATCCTATACCGTCCTCCATCATGCTGTTGGGGTTCCCTATTCGTGTGTTTCACGCAGGCCAGCCTCGGACATGTTTCAGGTGTGGCCTACCGGGCCACCAGACTGCCGGGTGTAAGGAGTGCCGGGTCACTCCTATTAACCTCTTCCGGGAGGAGGCTTTTTCCCCATTGTCTGCCCCGACCCTGTCTCCAAGTGCTGGTATGTGTGTTGCTTTCCTGCCGGCTGATGTCCTGGTGTTGGATCCTGCGGCTTGCCTGGGTGCGGTTGTGGGTGGTGGTGTAGGTGTTGACGGTGGGGGGGGGGGGGGGTTAAGGCAGCCCTGCCCCCGCCGTCGGCTTTCCCGCCTGAGCGGCCCTTTCCCCAGACGCCCCAAGCTGCCCCATCTTGGCTGCCCCTGCCTGTTCCGTCCCTGGATATGGTGTCTCCTGTCACTCTGGATGTCTGTGAGGGGCTGTCTCCTGTGGTGTGTGGTCTGGTGCCCCCAGCTGTGGAAGTTGCAGTTGTCCGGAGCCGTGTTTTGAAGGCATGCCAGTTGGATAGTTCTGTTGTGATGTAGGATTTTGGAGGTGATAGCTCGGACGAACGGCAGCCTGTCTCCAAGCGCTCAAGGTGGTTCCCAGTGTGTCTCCCCTTCACGGTGTGTCTTGGGTGAAAGTGGGGGAGTATGGTGCTCCGGCGTCTCACAGTGTTGTTGGGGAGCTCTATGCTACCTCTGGTGTCGCCCCCTGCGGCTCCTGCTGTTGGCTTCCCACAGTGGGAGGTTGCCCCTGATGATCGGGACCTCGTCATGGTGCTGAGGAAGGCGGGGGCCCTGGCGCACCTGCGTCGTCTGTGGGTCCTCCCAGTGCGAACGCCAGTGAGAAGCCCAGTAAGAAGTCCAGTGAGAAGCTCAGTGCGAAGCCCAGTGCAAAACACCCTAGAGTGGAACCCACTCTCTGTGGTCACAGCCTCCGAGGAGGTGGTCTATGGGGTCGCAGTCGTTGGAACTCACTTTGGATGACCAGGTGCATCCGATCCTATGGTGCTTTTCTACCATTTGGGTGCTGCGGGCAAAGGGGTTTATTTATATGGTGCTGGATTTGATGCCTCGGCCTTGTGTGTCTCCTGGTCGACTGGTGCCCGATGACGAAATGTTGATTTGGGAGGCTTACTGCTTGCGCTTTTCGGCGCAAGAGTTCCCGGATAAATATGCATAGTACTTGTGCTTGATTTGTGTACTTCTTGTATTTTTGTATTTGTTTAAATTTTTTATTGTTCTGTTGTTTTCACTTTTATGTTATATTGTTCTGTGCACCATGGTATCTGATGTTATTGTTATTTTGTGTTCTTGTTATTCTGTGTTTTTCTGTGAGATGTTACTGTGTATGTTCTATGTTGCATTTCTGTATTATGGTTTTTACTGATGTGTGGTATAGAGATTATGCTCGGGTTTTTATGCTTCGGTACATTTTATGCTGTATTTACTTTGTTTTACAAATAAAAAGATTTCGTTTTCTTTCGTGATATTGAGAGAATTTATTACATCCCCCCTTTTAGAGGGAACTTTTACTTTAAAATAAAAAATTAAATCAAGAAATCATAATTTCTATGATTTAATACAGCAACAGAAATAAAATTTCTTGCTGCACATTTAGTTAGTTAATATTAAGTAAATAAGTGTGGAAAGTTTTCCCACATAATTTTGGGGGGAGAAACATGGGTCGAAGTTCACTGTTCAGTACTGGCCGAGCACTTCATTACTCCTCGTCAGAATGATTAAAATATGGGTTTAGTTTCAGTTTGCACTTCCATGCAGTAGTTCATACAGGACGGATGTTCCATACTGGAGTTGCTGGTTGTGGAGGTCTCTGGTCGATTTTCATCTCACGCTAACTCCAATGGTTTTAGTTTTTCTAGTGTATTGAGGCTATTGGTGCTTTTGCACTTCACTTTCACTATCCTCAAGACAATCAAGCTGTCTGTGTTAACAGAAACAATGCAACCTTGCAGCCACTCTGAGCGTGGACCGTCGCGCCCCACCAGTACCACATCACCAGGGTTTAATTTAATTCTATTATAAGGGTCGTTTGCCCCATAGTGATACTCATGAAGAGCAGTTAAATATTCTTAGTCCAAACTTCGTGCCACTGACTGATTACTTTGGACAGGTGTTTATAACTCTGAACTTTGTCGCGATCCTCGTTGAATGAAAGATTACTAGGTTCCTTATCAGTGAGGGATGCAATAGGGATGAGAGGTCCTCCATACATCACATGAGATGGACTTAGTGGCTCATGTTGAGAGATATCGTCAGAGGTCGTTATTGACTCGATACTCAATTTCCGTTACAACGGTTTGGAGCTATTGGAGATCGAATTTGTGGCAGTGCAGGGTTTCCCCTTAGAGAGCGTTTCACCGTCCCCACCATCCCCTCGTAGAAGCCCCCGTGACGAGGTGCTCTGTGTGGTATAAATTTCTAGTAGCACTGCCGTTGGTTCAGGGCAGTGTGAACAACTGGATTATCCCAGACATTCCTCAAGCAAGCTTCACCAGCCACCAAGATGCACCCGTTGTCTGAGATCATCAACTTGGGGCAAGATCTGCATGCAGCAAACCTGCGGAAGGCCTGGATGAATGATTCTACACTCATGTCAGGAGTCACCTCTAGGTTAACTCCCAGAGTTGTGGCACAAGTGAAAAGATAGATGTATGCCTTCACAGGGTTTTTGTCCCTGGTGCCTGGTTTTTGTTCCATCATTTTAAATTATGATGGACGCTTACCCGTTCTGGATTTGTTGTCCTGCTTCATAACAAGTAAAACACTAACTATATAATACATGGCCATATTATTCTTAGATTGTGTTATACTGGATACACGACACGTCCCAATAATTTAGCGAGGTAGCTGTGGATAATAGCTGCAGAATATCCTGAAATGTGAGAATTGTTGCCGTGGACAACGAGACTCGCGGAAGGTGTCCATAACATTTGAATGGCGTCTCTCCTTCATCCTGTTCTCTTTTTCATTTCACGAGACACAGGAATTTTTGAAAGGAGCGTGTATTAATTTGTAATTGGATTTATTACGAATATGAATAATTATTTATTTTGTTTTATAGTGGATTCAGTCCTCAGATTGAATGCTTGAATATTACAAAGAGATTGATAAAGAACTACGACGCTCTATTGCTGATGTGACATTTCGTTTTCTCTTGTGATGATGAGAGAATTGATTACGTCACCCTTTTAGAAGGAACTTTTATTTTAAATTAATTTCTATGATTTAATACAGTAAAAAAATATAATTTCTTGCTGCACATTTAGCTAGTTTATAAAGCAAATAAGAGTGGGAAGTTTTCTCACAGTATTCTTCTATGTAACAGCTGATAGCTGATCTACCCTGAAGGTTACCACTGGCACTCCTCTTCTAGTCGAGTATATGGGAGTACAGTGAATGTCTCCCAGACTTCCATCGATCTCCCTCATTGATCACTGGTCCTCTCCTTCCATGTAGAAGTGATGGGACTCGGAAGCTGTTTAATCCAGGGCTGCTCAGCTGCCGAGACATGCTGACCAAGACTGTCCCCTATTGTTTTCCACAGTATCCACACCTGGAGTGGCCTGCGGATTGATACTCGATCCCCAGTACTGCCTCTCGAGACACTTAGGCATACACCGATGTTACATAGCCTCTTGTGGCTTTCTGTGGCTTTCCAACCGATAATTCCCTCCCTCACTGCAGAGAACACTAATTACAGTATATTTTCATATTTGTAAAATTCACTTAGTTAATAGCACCCTTCGATGAAACGTTTCTAAACTGACATGATCTTTTTATGGTAATAGGTACAATGAATATTTTGGCACTGATCTGAAATATCTATCCCAAATAGCTGAACCAGATAACACATTGGATAGATGCCTCCAATGTGTATGGGTCCACCCCCAACCAGCAGCGGGCCATCAGATCGTTCAGGAACGGTCTCCTTCTAACCTCCGGGAACAACCTCCTGCCCATTAACCCCAACCAGAACACCTCGATCGTTTGTCGGGCAGAGGAGCGTGGCGCCCTTTGCTACCTGGCAGGTACGTTGATTTTGTTGGTGTAATGACATCGTGTTAGTGTTGAGGTGGTGTGAGTTGTAGTGAGAACAGTGTTGACAACGGTGTAGTGAAAACAGTGCTGACAATGCTGAAGAGAGAGAAAATGCTGACAACGATGTTGAGAGAACAGTTTGGAGGGAAATACTTGTGGGAGGAAATTTATTTTATTTCATTTTCTTATAAATGATTTATAAAGAAACTGTCAACATAAAGATTGCCATTAATTTCGGCTTTATAGGAGCTTCTTGATTTCTTTAAATGCATATCTAAAATGGCTTGAAGAAGAAATGGTAAAGAAGTTGCTCCAACAATACCGATGGAAATTTATATGTAACTAACTCGTTGTTGAGATCCTAGGATTCTTTATCCAAAGGATTTAATATAGTTTGTATCCTCTACTTGGAGGTCAGAAGGAATGCCTTACTGATTTCAGCCATATGTGCATAAACTCATTTGCGGAATTTCATTAGCATTACATACAGCCTTTGGGTTAGGCTTGGGCCAATTTGTAGGCAGTCATTTTAACAAGACACTATTTGGTTTTCCATTTGCACTGTAGTTAAAGACTGTCCTTAGTGATGTAGTATCGGAGGCTTTCAATACTGTATGGTAGGGCAAATAGTGTCCTCCTTAGTGTTGTCATTTTGCATTACTTCAATGAATATATTATTGATTTGTTGTTGCAGGATTTCATGGTAAAGTATATAAAGTATTTCATCTGGTCTCCAAATGTGGAGACCAGATGCTCGGGGCTAGCCTTATCCAACTTTCCATGGGAAGAAATGATTATTACAAGGCTAGAAATTCAATACTGACAATGCTATTCTTAATTACAGAATAAACTTTTTATATTTGTATATAGAGTTAGCACTGTTTATCTCTTGATGAGCAGTTTGTGATGTTTATCTTTTCTATCTATATTTACAAGACAAAATGGCTGCCTATTTTTCTTAAATTGCCAGCCAAACACTTGGGACTAGTCTTACCCAAATTTGCAGGGTAACTAATGAGGGGTATGTGACAAACATGACAGGATTGGGTTTGGCCCTATTACTCTCATTAAAAGGAGATCGGCGTCCATGATGACACTAAATCGGTAGAAGTGGGCTGGCCTAGTCCATATAATTGTTTTTTTTTTTTGTGCTGTGGTTGATCCAGACACCAGGTAGCACAGGGTCGATCCAGACACCGGTGTCAGCAGTGTGAGCTCAGCCCAAGAGCTTTGACTTCATCAGTGAACAAGTTTAAGGCTGTTGCCCAACAATAATCACAATTAGTGTGTTAATTAGAACATGGCTTTAGTCACACAATGGGAAGGAAATGAAGCCCTTAAACAATAACAGTGCCAAGTTAGTATTAACAACAAGTAAATTATTCATTAGCAACAACACACAATAACAGAACCAAGTTAGTTTAAGAAGCAAGTGTCTTGGTCATCAACCATAAGATGTTAAGATCTCTCTTCATTAGTGAAGAACTTCCAATAGGTAACTGTTGCAATCAACAGTGCATATGAGTTGTCCTTGATCATATTATCTGATAATAAGCTGCAAATACTACAACATTACTTTACAATTTGAATTATGAGTATTATAAAACAAGCTGTTCATTATATAATACAGTATCTCTGCATCAATTCAGGTGACTCACGAGCGAACCAACACCCTCACATCACTGCTATACAAATTCTGTTCTTGAGGGAACACAACCGCGTGGCGAGGGAGCTCCAGGCCCTCAACCCCCAGTGGTCGGACGAGGCCGTCTTCCAGGAGACCCGCAGGATCGTCGCTGCCATCATCCAGCACATTACCTACAACGAGTTTCTTCCCATTGTCTTGGGTGAGTGGTTGTAGCTGTACTCGCCTAGTTGTACACACCTAGTTGTGCTTGTGGGGGTTGAACTTTGACTCTTTGGTCCCGTCTCTCACCTCTCAACTGTCAATCAATTTGTATACAGATTCTGCAGCCTATTGGGCTCTATCAAATCTACATTTGAAACTGTATATGAAGTCAGCCTCCACCACATCACTGCCTAATGCATTTTATTTGTTAACTACTCTGACACTGAAAATATATATTTCTAATGTCTCTGTGGCTCATTTGGGTACTAAGTTTCCACTTGCTCCTGTATCCTTTCCTCGTAGCTCATACCTCTCACTTCTGGGACTAGTCTGGTGACATACACCCATGTCACCCATGAATATAACCATGCTCAATCAGTTTTTATCTTTGTTGTACTGGCCAATCCGGAAAACCTTCTCCGTGCATTCCTCAGCCCCTTCCATTTGATTCTCTTTCAGGATCCCTGACACTGCAGCTTTGTCCTTAGTCCTCCACTCTTCCTGCCTAGAACTTTCTTGTTCCTTAATACCTAACACGACAACAGCTCTTCTCCTTTCCATTAGCTGACTTATGCATCTTGCTGCCTCCCAGGAAGAAAGTAAGTAATTATCAATAGAAGGCACCAAACCGGGAAGGCTATGTAGCACCATCAAACGTGTGGAATAATCAGAGGGCGTTAAATATCACCAAGGATGCCAATACGAGAACAGGAACGCATAAGATGAACAATATAAAAAGTATCCGATTCACCAAGAATTCTATCGAGGGACAAGCGACCACGAGGGACGGTCGGAAAGCCAGACACACACTCGTCCTGAAAGTCAGGACATTCAACAAGGATATGCACGACCGTAAGAGGGACAGTGTAATCTGGACAATGAGGAGCAGGGCGGCGCTCCTTTAAGTGACCGTGAGTTAAGCGTGTATGGCCAATACGCTATCACGCCAGAGCCGTTTCCCATCGCCGGTTACAGTGGTAGGAGGAAGGCCATAAGGACACACTACTCTTAAGAGTATACAGTTTGTTAACAGTTTGTTTCTTAACAGAAGACCAACAATCCTGTCAATGGGTAAGGATGGAGAAATGAATAACTGGGTAAAAGTCGGAATAAGGAATACCTTTACGGGAGATGGGACAAGAGCGGACAACTTCCCTAGTGGCAGCTTCCCTAGCGACAGCGTCCGCACACTCATTTAAAGAGACACCAATATGGCTGGAAACCCAGCAAAACTCAACTGACTTAAATTTACTGGAAATAAGAACCAGCCAATGTTGAATCTCGACGACCACTGGATGGACCAGATTAAAGAACCCAAGAGCCATGAGGGCACTACGAGAGTCAACGACAACTACAAAGGACGATTGACAACGAGAAATCAGGAGACGAAGAGTATAGAGAATAGCATAAAGTTCTGCTGTGAAGATGCTAGTTTCTGGAGGAAGGCGACACATATAAGTGCGGTCAGGAAAAACAACAGAATATCCTTCACCGTCCACAGACTAAGACCCATCGGTGAAGATGGAAATGGAGCGGGAGTACGAAGAAAAGTGCGTTTCAGAACCGTAGGAGGGGTAAAAGCTTTAGTGATGCGGGTCAAGGATGTACAAAACTTCGGAATGGGGACTCTCCACAGGGGCAAGGAAGGAACAATACGAGGAGAAATATTACTTATTATACGAACTGAAAGAGAATCCTGTAAGCGAGATAACTGGAAAGAAAGATGGAGGTGGTGAAGAGGAACAGGAACCACAGGAGGGGTAAAAATTTAGAGCGCGACAGAGATGAGAGGAAGGATGTTGCAAGGACCGTGCAAGATAGTGAAGATAGTAGCGATCATGGCGGTCCTGGAGAGATAGGAATCCAGTGTCAACATACAAGCTGAGGGCAGGAGTCAAACAAAAGGCACCAGAACTGAAGCGCAACCCAGTATGGTGCAAAACATCAAGACGGCGAAGAGTAGGAGAAGCAGACGAGTAAGCAGGGCAACCATAATCGAGTTTAGACAGGACGAGAGAGGAATGTAAAGTGAGGAGAGTGCGCCTATCCACTCCCCAAGAAGTATGGGACAAAACCTTAAGGAGGGTAAGGGCCTTAGAATATTCAACTCGGAGGTAAGAGATATAGGGCGACCAAGACAAACGAGTGTCAAAGATTAACCCCAAAAAGCTTAGTGGAATTCTTGTACACAAGGGGATCACCATAAAGCAACAAAGAGGGACGAAGAACAACATACTTCCGAGTAAAAGTCATAACACAAGTCTCAGACACAGAGAACCTAAAGCCATGATCGGTGGCCCAAGACGACACAGCATCAATCGCAAATTGAAGCTGCCATTGAAGGGGAGGTTAATCATCACCCCGACAGCAAAGGGTAAGATCGTCGACATAGAGAACGGAAAAGACGCCAGAAGGAAAAGAGGAAGGAAGAGAGGAAAGAAGACCATTGAGAACAACCAGAAAAAGAATAGTGCTTGGAACACTACCCTGGGGCACACACTCGTATTGCTGAAAAGAGACAGAGAGAGTGGCACCAAGCCTCACTCAAAAGGAACGATGAGAGAGGAAGCTTTGGAGAAAGAAAGGGAGATTACCACAAATGCTAAAGAATGAATTTGGGACAGAATATGATATCGCCAGATGGTGTCGTAAACCTTTTCCAGGTCAAAAAGAAAGGCAAAAACGGAGGTCTTTGCAGCAAAAGCAATACGAATATAGACCTCCAAGTTCACCAGGACATCCGTTGTGCTGCGGCATTTGCGGAAACCAAATTGAGAAGGAGAGAGGTGGTGATAGTGTTCTAAGAACCACATAAGCGAACGTTAACCATACGTTCAAAGAGCTTGCAGACACAACTCGTGAGGGCAATAAGGCGGAAGTCCTCAGGGGATGTCCCGAGAGACCCTGGTTTGCGAACAGGGAGGACAACGGCATCGAGCCAGTTCTCGGGGACTGACGACGACTCCCAGACTCGATTATACAGACTCGGTAAATACCGAGACGTGCACGGAGGGAGATGGCGAAGCATCTCATAATGAATGTCATCGGAGCCCGCCGCCGTAGAACCGCAAAGGGCCAGGGCAGACTGAAATTCAGAGAGAGAGAAGGGATCGTTATAGGGAAGTCTGAGATGGGTGCAGAAATCTAAAGGACGAGATTCAAGAACAGGTTTATGAAGAAGGAAAGATTGAGGAAGATGAAAACCAGAGCTAACAGAAGAAAAGTGGGAACCCAGTTCGGTCGCAACCTGCAACGGGTCCGCCACAAGAGGAGGACGCGAGGGAGAGGCAGAATGGAGAGGTCGGAGAGAGTAGCATGGAGGGTTAATAGGTTCCAGTCTACCTTGGCAAACTGCTACCTAGGGAAGGAGAGCAGAGGGCGAAAAGATAAAAAGATAACAAGGATGGGGAAATGGTCACTGCCATGGAGGTCATCAAGAACCCGCCATGTGAAATCCAAGTAAAGAGACGACGAGCAGAGAAAAAGATCAAGACAGGAAAGGGTGCGAGTCCAAGAGTCCAAATGAGTGGGCTCACCAGAATTCAGAAGAGATTGGGAAGAAGAGAGGACGAACGGTTCGAGAAGGCGACCCCAGGTGCTTGCCGGAACATCACCCCAGAGGGTATGTCGACAATTGAAATCACCCAGCAGGAGCATAGCTCCGGCAAGGAGTCCAGCAGGTGTTTAAGATCGGGAAGGGAAAGCAGGACATTTGGGGGGAGATAAGTGGAACAAACCGAGTACCATTTATGTACAAAGACACGTGCAGCAGAACATTGGAGAGGGGATGGAAAAAGTAGGGGACCAAGGGAACATCAGAACGAATCAAGAGAGCAGAAGAGAAATGGGCCCCAGCAAAAGCCGGGGGGCGGGGGGGAAGAGAAAGGAATAGCCACAGAAGCGACCAGGACGAGCACCAAGCATCGGCTCCTGGAGACAGACACAAAAGGGCAAAAACTGTGAAAACAGAAGTTGGAGAAATTGGCATAATATCCATGAATATTCCATTGAAGAACAGACATTGACAAGAAGAGAAAGGACAGCAACAGAGAACAACGAAGAAACAAAGGTGAAAAAAGAACACAGCACATTAAAAAAGTGCAGGATCAGGATCAGGGTCAGGGTTAAGGGGCATGGGTAAACTGAGTAAGGATGGAAGGAAGGGAGTGGGGAGGACTGACCAGATGCAGACGAGCCAGGGTCCGGAGGAGGAAGAGGAGGAGGAGGAGGAGGAGGAGGAGGAGGAGGAGGAGGAGGAGGGGGGGGGGACAACTGAGGGTCAAGGACGGCAGGAGGAGGAGGGGCAGAAACCGGGGCGCGCACCTTAGCAAGGGCAGCAACCGAGAGGGAAGTGGGGGTCAAAGAAACCTCCATCGCAGGAACAGGGGGCACAATCACTGAAACGGGAGGGGATGGAGCAAGAGAGTCGAAGGTAGGGGGCAAGGAAGAAAACGAAACCTTCTTACCCGCTGGGGAGGAAGGAGATGAGCCAGATCTTCGCTTCTGACTCAAAGAGACAGTCGTGCCAGGAACAACGTACTGGACAACAGACTCAAGCATCTCAACAGGAGAAGAAGAACGAGAGCAAACAACACGATGACCACTGGGAGAGTGATGGACATCAGCCCGCATAGACAGGCGGCGTGGAGATCTAAGAGACGGAGGAGAAGGATGGAAAGGAGGATCGGAGGGAGACGAGGAAGTAGACACAGGAGACATGACAGGCTGGGTTGAAAGAAGGGGAACCCCAGACAGAGAACTATGAGGGGAACCCTTCGGGACAGAACGTAAAGGAAAAGAGGAGGAGGCACTGGGCGTATCTGGGTCTAAGGCGTGGAAACGGTTGTGAGACTGAGGAAGGTGGGAAGGACGAGGAGAGGAAGAGCGCAATATACAAACATAAGAGACGCCAGTGAAAGGGGCTGAGATGGCGAACTTGGCGCCTTGCCATAGGAAAAGACAAATGTTCCCAGTGCTTCAAGGTGAAGACGGCTGCCTCAAGTTTGAAATGTACACATGTGCAGGAGAAGGTAGGGTGGGCCTCACCGCAATTTAGGCAGCGAGCCCGGGGAGAAGTGCACTTCCACTTAGAGTGACCTTCGTCCCCACACATGGGACAGAGAGAGACAGTACTGGAGCATCGGAGGGCACCATGGCCAAACCTCCAGCACTTATTACAGAACTGAGGAGAGGGAACGTACTCCTGGATGGAGCACCTGGCACCAGCAAGAATGACAGAGGGCGGAAGGGTTCTACCATCAAAGGTAATCTTCACAACCCGAAGGGGCTGACGGCGACGACCACGGGGGGAGACGAGTAACCATGTCCACCTGGAAGACAGAATGGCCCTGGGCTTCGAGGATATGCCGAATATCTTCGAGGCAGTTTCTGTAGATTCCTAACACCGTTTGCAACATGGTGTGGGAGAAGAATAGTGCCAACACTGGCATTCAACCGAGCGTTCTTGGAGACCCAAACAGAAGTACGAATATAGATATAACCTTGAGGTTACCTTGAGGTGCTTCCGGGGCTTAACGTCCCCGCGGCCCGGTCGTCGACCAGGCCTCCTGGTTGCCGGACTGATTAACCAGGCTGTTGGACGCGGCTGCTCGCAGCCTGACGTATGAGGCAGAATTTCCTCAGGCAGAATTTCCTGCCTTATCCTCGCCAAGGCAGGATAAGGCGGCCAAGCAGGTGGCTGCATCCTGAGAAGGCGCAGCAACGACACATGCACTGATACGGGAGGGGGTTGAAAGTAACAGAGACATCTACTGAATCAACAAGGTGCCTATGGAGGGAGAAATCATCAGGAGGTGTAGAATCCAAGGCTTGATACGCATCAGTACGGAAAGGGATCATGCGAGTGTGGCCATGGTGTGGACGGCGTTGAGAACCCCTAGAGAGAGAGGGGTTAAAAGACGCAGTAGTCACAATGAGAGATTGAGCCGTGTCAGGGGACGAGGTGGTCACCACTGGGGGCTTGTGCTCCACCCAACCACTGAGGAGGGAGGGGAGCCGATGGGAGTAGTCAGGAGGGTCAAAGGAGGAGCAAGGTCGGGGCCCAATGCAGCAGGGCTACAGAGCCCGGTCTTCCAACATAGTCCGACTCGGGGGCTTGGTTGTCCACCCCACGAGCCGGAGAAGGTACAAGAGAAACAGAATTGAACATAAAATCGAGAGGAAAGACTTCCATTCACGAATGTGCCCCCACACCCACCACGGAGCCACAATTAGAGGATAGAACACCTAACAAGGGACATGTTGCCGGTCTTGCCGGGACCCCCCAAGGGTGCGTCGTGAGTATGCACCCCACAATCGCCACCTTAGGAACCGTCAGTCCATCGAGATCGGGTTCAGCGACGAACGGAGGTTTGACACTTAAAGCGTCCCCTCGCTCGAGACATTGGGTACCACAGTTCTCCGGGTGAGAGAGTATACCTCCTCAAACACCCGAGCATCAAAACAGAAGAAGGCTAAAAGAATAATCAAAACCGGCAAAAGGTCTGAAGGAAATAACAATGAGAAAGGAGAAGAGGGGAGGGGGGGGGGGAAGAAAAACGAAATATAAAGAAAAGGAAAAGTCATCCGGCACAATTCGAGAAGACAGCAACAGGAGCATAAGGCTACAAAAAGACAGAGGACTGACCCATGGAGCATCACACTCCAGCAGCCGCCCACCAAGCCCCCGCACAGCAACAATGGACTGGATAGGGATGGGGTGCCTCCCGAGAAGTTACTGCTTTCATTGCAACTTTATTGACTGTTGACATGGCTTCTGAGTTCTTCCTCAGCACTTCAGCAAAGGTGGCACCCATTGTAGAGGTCCCCGCCATTGCTATATTGCCTGCTACCTGGGGGGTTGGTTACCTGGATCTGAGTTTGAGGATGGCTTCTTTTTAGGGTTTTTTATATCCTCCTGCATTTCACTCAGTTCCATCTGAAGTGTGATTATTGTTTCCCTCATATCTTTCAATTCCCCACTTATTTCCCTCCATGCACGAGCAATCATTTTCATGTGTGACTCGTCCTGTCCCTCTCCTCCACCTGTGTTCTGTTGTTCTACCTCATGCTTGATCCATTTTTTTGGTACATAGGGTTAGACTACAAGGATCAGAGAGATGAAGAGAGAGAGAGAGAGAGAGAGAGAGAGAGAGAGAGAGAGAGAGAGAGAGAGAGAGAGAGAGAGAGAGAGAGAGAGAGGGGAGATAAAGAGATAAAGAGAGAGAGAGAGGGGGGGGACTAGAGGTATTTCATCATAAAAATATTTATATAATATACTAATGAGTAATACCTGTTTATTGTTATCTGTAGATTACAATGTAAATAATAAAAAAAAACAATTACAAATAGAAATTTATTTTAGGAGAAAATTTCATGAGATCGTTCGGCATCGATCCACGCCTCTCTGGCTACGTCAATAACTATAGGCCCGACATCAACCCCAACATGAACATTGAATTTTCCACGGCTGCCTACCGGTTTGGTCACTCCATGGCGCAGGGAACCTTGCGGTGAGTATTATATGGAACATTACTCGCCCTATAGGATAACTAACTCAGGGTTAATAAAGTTAAACATTAGGCAATTTAATGAGAAATTTATATGACGATTTATAAAAAAAAATAAAGTAAAGCATTTATATTCTAAACATGACAAGAGCTTTTTACGTTACTTGTTCCCAGTGTATTTAGATAATTTGAAAGTAATTGCTTTCAAAGTTTTGTGCAAACAGGGAACAAAATATATATTTTTTATATTCCATAATCCAAGATATTTTTACTTCCTTTGCTGGTACAGGTTGTTTACTGCTAATGGCGGCGTGGACACCGTCCGGCTCCGCGACCACTTCAACTCTCCTAATCTCATCCAGATTGAGGGCCGACTGGACGACATTGTTCGCAGCTTCACTCAACTTGCCTCTCAGAGGTTTGACGCCTTCGTTGTACAGGACCTCACAAACCATCTGTTCCAGGTGTGCTGACCATTCTCAAATTACAATCTATTAATAAGGACTTCATGATGCTTTGCACAGTTTTGAACTAATTTACGCCTTCTCGTTCGATATCTTGAAAGAGCAAGAACTCTTAATCTTTTCCCCTAAAGTCCCAAAGAGAGTGAGAGAGAGAGAGAGAGAGAGAGAGAGAGGGAGAGGGAGAGGAACACTACAAAGGTGTAGTTGCGGGTGTCAGGATAGGGGTGTGTGACCAAGATACGAGGCCTCTGACTGTGTCTTCTCTCCCCTTATCGTTGCAAGTAAACCATGGCCAGGTCTGGTAAACCCACGTGACAAACTGTGTATGAACGTATACCAGTTTACACGTGACTCACGCGAGAGGTTACATCCGAGGCCTGCATTCGAAGAGCAGTTCTCAATGCAATGCATTAAAAAAAAAACTTCCAGCCTGTCGTCAGGACAGTTACCCAAGGACACCTTCCTGAGGACACCTGAGGATACCTTCATGAGTACACCTTCCTGAGGACACCTTCCTGAGAACTCTAGCTCACTGTTCGCTAGACTTCAGACAGGAGGAATGTGACCTTGGGCGCTCTCACGGTATATTTGTATATCGGTATATTTGGATCTTAAGTGCCAAGTTGAGCCTAGGAGGCAACAGGACTCTGACCATATTGAGACGCCAAGGGGGACCTTTGTGGATAAGGTCGTACGAGTATCATCAACGAAGGGACCTGCTAAGAGAAGAAGATACTCGATAGCATACCAGATTCAGTGGAGATAGCTGCAAGTACCTTCATTTGGATCTTGGTGGGTCAATGCAACTGGACTGACCATCGAAGCCTAGTGACAGTCCCGACAAGGAGTGTTAACTGTGACCCTGGAGAGGGAGTGATTTATTTAACTGTGCCAATGAAGAGGTTGTGAACAATCGTGCATCGATGTTGAACAATGCTATAGTAAATAGTGAGGTGAGCAAGTGTGGCAGAAATTAATATCTCTGGTTATCCTATGAAGACTGGATCTAATGACTGTGACAGTGCCCTGTATCAAAACAGACCCAGCCAGTGAAGTCGACCTTTGTAATATCTTCTTCCATGGCAGTGAATCAGTGCCTAGTGAGTTCCCAGAGGTGCTGCAAGGTCCGTGTGTTTTGGGGCTGGTGTACACAGCGGTTAAGCGCCGACTTCATCGCCAGGGAGGGGGAGTACAGAGCCGACAGTAAAGAGAGCAGTGACGGAGTGTCACTGGTGGAGCTCGACCAAGCTCTGCCCTTTGTCTTCCCCGTGACATCTTCCCGAGGACACCTTCTGAGAACACCTTATTGAGGATACCTTCCTGAGGACACCCACCCATAATTATTTCATATTAAAAATAATTATTTTTCAATACTAACAACAATATTATTTTAAATGTTAATTATTGCTGTAGCTCCAGCGGAAGACCAGCCCATCCTCCTGTTTTGGTAGTTCTTAGAGTAACGATGAGGACCATAGAACATATACCGACATACAACGCGACTAGAAAGTAGAAATCAGACATACTGAATTTGGACAGACCGGAAAAGATTTTATGTTGCAAAAACAAGCTAAACTAACTTACCCTAATCTTTCTAATCCTAATACATGCTATCTGAGGCCTAATATAGTACATAAATGTGCAATACTAGGCCGAGGAATATTTAAATGTTTTTAGCTTCATTCTTTTTCAGATTCTGTAAAGTGAATAGTACAAAATTCTACTATCTAATTGCTTAGTACGTCAATGTTTGTACTATGGTGCATATAGTTACAAAAATTACTATCAAAACAGGAGGATGTGTTGCAGACATGTTCCTGGTGGCGTGACCAAGCCAACTGATCTATTTAGAAACGCCTTTAATTTCTGTTACTTTCCTCCAACAGACCGCCAGGTTTACCTTCGGCTTGGACCTGCCCAGTCTGAACATGCAGCGCGGGCGGGACCACGGCATCGCCACCTACAACAGCATGCGGGAGGCGTGTCGTCTGCCACGAGCCCGAAGCTTTAACGACTTCGCTGACCAGATGAGTCCTCAGGTAAGACCATTTTCTTAGTGATCATACTGACAGAACATTCCTCCCCGCTTCACACCATAGTTTTCCTTGTAATGATCTACAAGTTTCTCTGCTGCAATTTACCGGGAGTTGGACACTTTTGCTTGATATTGCTTTAATTTGTCTCAATTGTCTTGTGTGCATAAGATTCATGAGATTATTATATTGTTTCCTATTCATCATCACTCGGACCAACGCCATCAACTACCCAACAGGCCATACAAAAACTGGCCAGAATCTACAAGAGCGTTGATGATGTTGACTTATTTGCGGGAGGTCTCTCTGAGACTCCGATACCCGGGAGTCTCCTGGGCTGGACCTTCCTGTGTGTGGTGGGAGACCAGTTCGCTCGCCTCAAGTTTGCTGACCGTTACTTCTACGACCTCGGAGGACAGCCAGGCTCCTTCACTGAACGTAAGAACAGAAAGTTTTAAATTTATGATTCTGTCATGAATCTTCTCGATATTTCTTATGTTTTTCTTCACTGAAGCAGGAAGTTGAAAAATTAAATCTCCAAAGTTCCTGTTTACTTTTTATTGAGTTTGACATCTAATGATGCATTTAGCAAGGTCACTCCTCACATTCTGAAAGACAAATACTATCGTGCTTAGTATCGGGCTATATCCTCTTATGGTAAGGTCGTTAGGTATCATATGGATGAGTGGCATTAATAGTAGGTATCCTTTAGTCTCAGGAGACTATGGAGTTGCGCTCTGGTTGTCAATCCTGGTGCAGCGTCTGGTGTGACTGATGAGACTGATCCGAGAGTGACAGTTCAATGGGCACAAACGAAGTCCGATTCTGGTCTGTCTTCCTGGCTACCGGTTATCCTTCTCTGTCTCTTTGCCTCCGATTTCTCGGCATGTCTCGAACTTGGAGAAGAGACTTCTTTGAACAGACTGCCCCCAGGCTGAACGGTCTGCGGCCAGTGTTTCCCACATAGCAAGATCGACGTCCATGGCTTTCAGGTCCCTCTTGCATACGTCTTTGTACCGTAGCTGAGTTTTGCCTGTTGGACGCTTTCCCTGCGTCAGCTCTCCATACAGGAGATCCTTGGTGATCCTGCCGTCGCACATTCGCACCACGTGCCCGAGCCAGCGCATACGTCTCTGTTTTAGCATTGTGTACATGCTGGTGATTCTTGCTCTCCCCAGAACGTTGTTGTTTGTTACCTTGTCCTGCCAGGTGATGTCCAAGATGTGTCGGAGGCAGCGCATGTGGTAGGCATTCAGCTGTCTTTCCTGACGGGCGCGGAGTGTCCAAGACTCACTGCCATAAAGGAGAGGTCTCAGGACACAGGCTCTGTAAACCTGGATCTTTCTATACTTATTCAGCCTGTTGTTGGCCCACACTCTTTGTCAGTCTGGACATGGTAGTAGATGCCTTACCGATGCATTTGTTGAGCTCCGTATCAAGAGAGAGGGAGTCAGAGATTGTGGAGCCCAGGTACACGAAGTCGTGAACGACTTCCAGTTTGTAATCGGAGATGCTGATGTCAGGTGGGGAGTCCACTCCTTGTCCCATGACCTGTGTTTTCTTCAGGCTGATGGTGAGTCCGAAAGCCTGACAGGCCTCGCTGAAGCGGGTCATGAGCCACTGGAGATCTTTGGTTGAGTGGGCAGTGACTGTTGCATCGTCAGCAAAAAGGAAGTCGTGCAGAAACCTCAGCCGAACCTTCGTGTTGGCTCTCAGCCTGGCGAGGTTAAAGAGCTTTCCATCCGACCTATTCCGGGGGTAGATGCCTTCCGTGGCAGATCCGAAGGCGTGCTACAGCATAACTGTGAAGAAAATCCCGAATAGGGTTGGAGCCAGTACGCAGCCCTGCTTTACTCCACTTCGGATGTCAAAGACGTCTGATGTTAGGCCATCAAAGCCCACGGTGCCCTTCATGTTCTCATGGAAAGATCTGATGATGCTGAGGAGCCTGGCTGGGCATCCGATCTTGGGGAGGATCTTGAACAGGCCATCACTGCTGACGAGGTCGGAGGCCTTCGTCAGATCTATGAAGGCTACGAAGAGTGGCTGTTTCTGTTCCCTGCATTTCTCCTGCAGTTGTCTGAGGGAAAAGACCATATTGATGGTGGACCTGTTAGCTCTGAATCCGCATTGTGATTCTGGATAGACTCTCTCTGCAAGTACTTGGAGCCTCTTCAATGTGACTCGAGCAAACAGCTTTCCGACAATACTAAGAAGAGAGATTCCACGGTAATTGTTGCAATCGCCCCTGTCACCTTTATTCTTATACAGCGTGACGATGTTGGCGTCCCTTATGTCCTGTGGCACCTCTCCTTCCTAGAAGAGGCAAAGAATTTCATGCAGCTCCATGAGCAGGCTACCTCTGCAGCACTTCAAGGTCTCAGCAGAAATATTGTCTTTTCCAGGAGCTTTAACAGAAGCAAGGGAATTTAGGGCCTCGCTGAGTTCTTCGAGGGTCGGTTCGCTGTCGAGCTCCATTAACACAGGCAGGCACTCAATGGCGCTCAGGGAGTCTGAGTGATGAATGGCAT